TGACAAGCTTGTACAGAACATTGAGCGGTATGGTTGAATGTGCTGAAAGAGGCAGAAAAGCACTTGGCGACGAATTCGAGGTCAAGAGTGATGACCTTACCATTGACGAGCAGGAAGATCATACTGGAAACGAGTGGGGCAGAGTCGATGCCAACAAAAAGGTAGGAACCCTCAACTATTGCAAAGAACGTATCAGCCTAACAATCCATAGTCAATCCGACTCCTCCTGACTCTTGCCAACATGTCCGCTTTCCAATCAGAAATAACACCAACCCTTCTCAACCTTTTTGAAACCCTCTTTAGTGTTCAACTTACCGACGAAACAAACCGCATCCGCGACGTCCTCTCCCAACTCGACTCGCAACTCTTCCGCTCCTACACCAAACCCCACGCCACAAAAATAAACTCGACAATCCAATCCGGCATTTTCTCCCCAACCTGGGCTCCTCCTCCCGGACCAAACCAAAAATCCGTCGCAGACCGCGACCCAAGCCCCTACGTCTTCTCGGTTCTCCTCGACCTCGTAATCGTGCATACAGAATCAAGCACCACCTCCGCTCCTCTCACCCCACGTATCCTGCGCTCCCTTTTCGAATCCACTACCGCTTCCCTAATCCAAACATTCCAGTCCGACAATCTTCCCACCATTTCCCTCCCGCAACTCATGCAAGCAACTCTCGATGTGGAATTCATGGCGCAAACGCTGTCTGCGTATACCACGGAGCGGGCGTCGCAGATTCAGACGGATATTTATCAGGTCCTCGACCAGAAGACGGATAATGCGGCCAGAGTCAAGTTGCAGGATGAGTTGAGTAATTTGAGGACAGTGCTTAAGAGGTTGAGGGAGGGGACGAAGGTCCAGTTTGCGTGTTTCAGGCGGGTCAAGAGGGCTAATACAGCTCAGATGGCTGGGTCGGGTGGCGGTGGAGGTGGGGGTGGGGAGGATGAGAGGGGAAGGCGGTAGGGAATTTGATTTTTGTGGGATTGGAGGACGTGAGCAGGAAAGGGGGTTGAGAAGGTTCTGCTGTACAGGTGCCTTGATCTGTTGTTTAGACTCATGTAGATATGTCGGTGAAGTGATTGGTTTCCATGCACGCAAGTCTTTGTCTCTTCTCACCCTCACGATTCGTGAAAATATGTTTTGAGTGCAAAGAGCCCTTGGTATTCCGACAATTCTATCCCTCTACAAATACGCTGCCCCTCATATGAACCAAAAGAGGCGATTGTCCCGACTTGAACAAAAAGAAAAACGTTTAAAACAACGCCACGAATGCATACTTCTATATCACTTCATACCCTCCCTTTGATTCATTGATCGTACAAATGCTTATGCAAAAAAAACTAATCTTATACATCCTCAACACGTGAGAGGGGATGTTCCTCAAAATACCGGAGAAGCGTCTGGTACAAGACGAGCATTGTACCAGACTGCACGCTCGTCCAGACTGCACGGGGTCCTACGCCTCTGAACCAGCCAGCCACGCCTTCTGTCTTGTATATTATCTTCAAACCCGTGATGACGGACGATGTGTCGAGAGTTGCTGCGCCATGTGCTTTGAGCGTTGTCGAGGGCGACGAGGTAGATATGGGTCTGCTTTGCGTTATTGAGCGGGGCGTATTTGATTGCTTGGATGGCACGTGTTTCTTTGCTGATGCTGGGGAAAGCGAGACTTTGGGTGCGGCTGAGGAAGTGGGAGAAGGTCCGTTGTGTTGGGTTTGAATGCGGGTTTTGACTACGTCAAGAGGTGTTGTTATGACGCCGGCCATCCCTCCTGCTGTTGCTGCGGTCGCAATTTCCAGGGGGAGCCCAATGTTGTTGGTACCCATGTACTTTTTTGCCCAGCCGCGCTCTTCTTCGTAAAAGGCAAATTGGAGTGCGGAGAAGGGCAGGTCGCGCCATAGCGTAGCTTTGTAGCCGTGGAAGAGGGCGCTGTAGCCTTCTGTTCGGGCGATTGTGCGCGCGGCGTCAATGGTGGAGCGGTAGTTGTAGCCGGAGTTGAAGTAAGGGTTGTTATGCCGGCCTTGCAATTGAAGGCGGGTTTTGAGGACTTCTGACGGAACGTATGCGGGGGCTGCAGCGAGGTCGGCTAGTAGGCCTGATACCGTGTTAGGATATTTCTTCTGAATGTAGGTTAGACATGAGTGCACCTGCTGAGAAATATGCGACTGATGGAGTGACGCCATAGTCGATCATAGTCCGTTTTGTCCATTCGTATGCGCCAAAGAAGCACATGGTGCCAATGAACGACCCAAGAAAGGCGGGCTCAACACCCCCATAAAGTCCTCTTTTGAATCCCTCTTGCCGCCATATGGTGTAGTATGTATTACCCATGGATGTGTATTTTGGCGGCATATGCGGGTCGCCCTGTTGGCGCGTCTTCACTGTGTCGAGTGAGTGCATCAGCATGTCTCCTGTGGTTCCTCCTATGCCTCCTGCCAGCATTGCCTGTAAATGGTCAATTGGCATGCCTTTATGTTTGCCGACTAGGCATCCTCACATGTAGGTATGGCGGCCGCGCTGCTTCGTCGTCTATCTCCTCCTCCTCCATCACTCTCCGCTTGGTATCCTGCATGGGTGGCTCCCTTGCTCGTGCTGTATTTGCGACATAGTCCCGGCTACTATCGGTGAGAGTGCTGGTAGAGTCTCCGTTGGTGAAGAAGTTGGCCACGCGGGCAAGTACCATGAGCGCTTAGATGGAGGTGGTGCGCTGTGAGAGGAATTGTGAGTGATGTAGCGGGAATTCTGCAAATATAGAAGACAGGCGCAGGGCAAAGAGGGCGATAAAAGCAAAAAGTGACGTTGCAGCCGATGCGGGCCTGCGATGATGCTGTTGTCTAGAAAATTTCGGCCAAGGCCGGGACTGCGCCACAGCGACGCCACATGACCCCTTGCATGCACCGCCACAACGGGGCACACGGAGCACAGGGACCTGATGAGGCCCTGATTAGCACAGATAAGAGGCCAGACTGCGGAGGGAGCCGTCATGTATCGGATGCAGCACGAAACATGCACAACGTGGCCCTGCGCGTTACGACAATGCGCTGTCCTGCTGCAGATCAGGACAAAGGGCTTCAAGGCTGGGCCCCATAGCCGCCGACTTAGCGCCCATCTGACCCACGTGAGCCCCAGCCTTCGTGTTTACATCTCGAGCCTCGCGTACCACTAACTCTCTTCCCACCTGGTCAACACCACACCGCCCCCACCTTTTCTCGCACCCCATTCCCTTTTCGCCTCATTATTTATATCATTGTAATCGCCACGCGCACGCGACTCAGACTGTACCATTCACCATGTCTCACACTTGGCTGCAGAAGAAGCGCAAAGCCGACCTGATTGACCTTGCACAGAAGGCCAGACTCCCCGAGTAGGCTCAAATCGATCTTGCGCGTATGCCGCGAAACTAATACTCGCCCCGCAGTGCGGATGGTCTGTTGAAGGATGACTTGGTGGAAATGCTGGCAAAACATCTGAACACCAATGAGACGACATTTGCCAAACTCCCAGAGTTCCGCGACTACTATGGTCGCAACGGGTCGCCTGTGAAGCGCGAGCGCTCATCGCCTACGGCACCTGCTACTGTGACCAAGACGACGCGCCGACGTACAATCATCAAGGAGCCTGCGTACGTCATACCCCAAGCACGCGACGCGTTGCGTGTTGAGACTGACACCTTCACAGCGAGGAGCCTAAACCTGAACGTACCCCGGTTGTAGAACGTACCCCAGCTATAGAGTGCAGCACGGCTATAGAGCGCAGAAGTGCCTTTGAGAACAGCGTCGTACAGTCGCGAACGCCTAAACCAGTTTCCCGACGCGTCTCTGAAATCGCTCCCCAAGTTGATATTCCACCATCGCCTGCGCAACTAGCTGAAGTTGCCGACCAATCACTTCAACTTGTAAAGACAAAGGCCACTGAAATATGGGACCGGACCAGAATCGACGAGTTGAAAGAATTTATCCGTGAAAATGCGAGCTCCGTTGCTACTATTCAGACGATAATTCTCCTCATTGAGGCTGTAGGACTCCAGTGGAACACGCTTGATACAACACCCCTGTTTGCTACGCCCGCTGCGCTCGCTTCATACTCCAACAGCCAGGAAATCAGAGGGCCCAACGGCTGGGCACTTCTGACAGCCGATTGGTGGGCGCCCGCAACCCTTTGGTCACTGACCAGCTGGGTCCTGCCACTCTTCTTCTCATATTTCTTTAACCTGACTCTCCGTTCAAACACCTCCCGCAAATCAGATGATCGCCAGTATCCTGCTGATCCCCTCATCTTCAACATCGCAAGGGCGATATTGGCTTACAGCGCCTACCGCGACACTACCAGCGCGTCTCTCGTCCCGAAGGCCTGGGGTCCTTTCTCCGAGTACGCAGTAGCCCGCGTTGGAAATCACGTACCTGGAGGATATTACGGTCTACAAATCAGCTCAATTGTCGGTATCCTTGTCAGCTTGTACGATGCTGCGTTGAAGAAGTAAGCAATCACCAGCTCACAAAAAACACGACCGAGATTGAAGAGATTGGAGCTTCGATGCTCGCGTCCTCGATGGCGTTCGGATTTGATTTTTGGGATGGCAGCAGGTTGGGTCTTTGGAACCGTTATGTTGAATTCGTTTTATTATCATCAGCGATTATCATTATCCTGTATGGTTGTACTCCTATGTAAGACTTTAAATTAGCAAAGTTACACAAGGATCATGTCAGATCTGTGCTACACGAACAATTGTGGGGAGCATGGTGATGTAATCATAATCGCCAGTAAGGAGGGTTAAGCTTTTAGGCCGCCTACATTCGCTTCAATGATCCTAGCGCGGTGGCGCCGCACACGCGGGCCGTCTCGCTCTTACAATGGACGCTACGTTCTTACTGTACACCTACACTATTATCACTTTGCCGGTCTAGCCCCAATCTATATCTCCAATTATCTTCATTTACCCGAGAGAGTAGTCTTACTCCCAGTATCTCACGTGATCGTAAACTGAACCTCACTTTCCAAAATGGCTGCCAACTTTCTGCAAATGCTCGAAAACATGCAGCCGCGGTCTAAGCGGTAAGGACCAGCGGCTGAGACGGGCGGCCCTTCGCTGACATATACGCGAAGCACGATAGAGGATCTCATAAATTCTGATGATCAGCTGGCTGGCATGGACGGCATGGAACTCAGAGGCTGGACCCAAGCCAATCCCACTGCGCCTAGTCGTGACCTAAAAGATCCAGTGGGCCAAACTCTCCTCGCTGCATTCAATGGAGAGTTCGATGCGCTACAAAACTACTGCGAAATGATGATTAAACAACTAGGCGGGGATGAGAATGCACGCGAGACCGTCAGACAGGACATGTATACGAAGAGATGGGGTCCCAGCAAAACCCCCGTCTACTCAATATTGCTACCCGCACTCCACATGCTCCCAGCAAAGAAGGAGGAATTACTCGGAATCGTAAGGTATCTTGCAAACGACCTGAAGGTACCAGTCGACGGAAAGGACGTCTTAGGCTCTACAGCGCTATTCTGGTCTATATCCACAAAGCCCTATGTACAACCCGAATTTGCGCAAATCCTCTTCGACGCTGGGGGCTCCGTGAACACTAAGAACAGGTTCAATGCTACTCCAGCGAGCGAGATAGCACAAGCAGATCTCCACGGCGACACTACTAAGAACGTGCAAATGATGAAGTGGTACATTGAGCATGGCGGCGATATCGAAAACAAAGATAGCGACGGTATGAGTGTCAAAATCTTGGTGGAAATGATGAAGAAGAAAGTGCCGCAAATGGCTGAGGTGATTCAGAAGGGGAGAGGAGAAAGGAAACAGGGGGATTGCACGACATGTGGGAGGAGTCCGAAGGGAGAAAAGATGTTTCCTGCTTGTGCAAAGTGTAAGAAGGCGAGGTACTGCTCGCAGGAGTGTCAGAAGGTGGACTGGAAGACACACAAGAAGATTTGCGTTGCTTCGTAGGTGAATAGGACATTGCAAAATTGAAAAGGTGGGGTAGGGGCAAACCGAGAGTATGCTCTGGGAGGACTAAAATTGCCTATTCAAGATGAGGGGATCGGTGTATGCTGCGGGGTACATTAGTACCTTGGCGACTTTCTCAATTGTGTGGATTCAGGTCTGTAAGCATGTCGGAGCAGCCGGACGAAAGCTGCTTTGTTCAATTCCCTAAAATCACAGCCAAGATTACCCCACGTATGCATCACCAGTAACTGGCCTGGAAAAACACTACCTGTGCTTAATTCCCCAGAGTTGTCGTGGGTATTGAATACCAAAGCCTAGTAGAGTTTAACCACATGCAGCTGATATTTTTCACGTTATTTATACTCAAGCTCAAAACAAGATTTACTGCAGCACTAATGGCTAAGTAGTGGTGGCACTTGTCACGCGTTAACGAGTAATGTACAAGTACGACCACATCAGTCCTCGGCATCCGGAGTCCCCGCTCTTGTACACACGTGTATATAAACCCTCTACGAACTCCTCTTTTGGATCAAAAACATTCAGTTGTGAGGAGGCGATTTACGCATCATTGATCAACGCAGTCAGGACCAAACCAACGTCAACGCTTAACCCGAGCCTCCAACAATGTCGTCTCAAGTTTCCTACCCATCTCTACGCGGCAAGGTCATTGCAATTACAGGCGCAGCATCAGGCATGGGCCTTGCAACTGCTAAATTGCTTTACCCTATGGGAGTCAAGCTCTCCTTAGCTGATGTTAACAAAGCCGCCTTAGACGAAGCAGCCAACGCTTTGAGAGCGTCCAATTCATCCGGTGCCGATGACATCATCACAACCGCCGTCGATGTCAGCTCTTCATCTCAAGTCGATAATTGGATCCAAACCACAGTCGACAAGTTCGGCGCTATCAACGGCGCAGCTAACTACGCCGGCATCGGCACCCAGGTAACAAAGGTTGTAGACATGAGTGATGAAGAATGGAGGAAAATACAAGGCGTTAACAATGACGGCACGTTCTTCTCTGTAAGAGCAGAGCTACGAGCTATGATTAAGCAAGGTAGCGGAGGCAGTGTCGTGAATTTGGCAAGCGTCGCAGGCGTGACCGGTCGCTACTCGTGTGCGGCTTACACAACGAGTAAGCATGGTGTCGTTGGCTTGACAAAAACTGCTGCCAGAGAAGTGGCGCCTTTGGGAATCCGAGTTAATGCCGTTGCACCGTAAGTGTCCTATTTTAATTTTTAGTCTCGGATTGCTAGATGGAAAGGCTGATGCGAGATGGCAGAGGTGCAATCGACACGCCAATGTTGCAAACATCTGGAACCCCAGAGGCGATACAGTTCCTGACACATGCGACTCCTTTGGGGAGATTATCACATGCCGATGAGGTGGCTCGTTTGGTGATCTTTTTGCTGAGCGATGAGAGTAGCTTTGTGACGGGTTCGCTGCATGTTGCTGATGGAGGATTGACTTGCTGATAGAGAAACTAGAATATGACTGAATGGAAGAGCCTGTTTGATTGTTCCTTCTTTTTGTCTCGGTTTCTGAACTGGTTTGGGTTAGTGGGTGTTGTTCAGCGCCGCGACTGGGAATAACCAGATTAGAGTAGAGAATGAAGGCGCTTTTATCCGTTCTATAGAGGTAAAGTCAATTCCTACGATGCGAGACGCACCCTGTCGCGAGACACTTTTACAAATCTGGCCTCCGGAATCTCCGTTGTGCGTACTAATAAAGTTTGATTAATGAGCTATGAGTCTATAGACATTTTTCTATTACTGAACCGGTCTCCGACGCAGATCTCTTGAATGTTGGCTATGTCGTTGATCATTTCATGGTTGCCATTTATCACCCGTTCAGCAATAACCCCTTGTTCAACAGCGCATCAAGGCCTCTAAACAGATTTCGGGGGTCTATAACGAAAGTATCAAGTTTTCAAGATATCGAGCCGTAACGCATTTTGGTGCTACGTATTCCTACCTCAGACAACCTAGAAATAGCTGTGGCACATGGCGGGGGTTCGGGAATGTATCCTTTATTGCCGCACTCTCCTTCGCTGCCTGGGAGAACAATAATATCTCCCGCTAGTCAGTGTTTTTTGGTAGATTGATTGGTATGGAGCTAGTTAGGTGTTGAGCTTTGTAAGGTTAATGTGATGTAGTCAGTGTCTGATTCACTGTGTAGAGTTGGAGTTCGAGTGGTCCCCTACCAATCATTTGTTCCCTACTCCATGTTCTACCTAGTCTGTCTACCGGAATCGGGACGGAATTATGTCGCTTCTTCCCGTTCTCAGTGTTTTCCCGTTAATTTCGTGGTCAAAATGGGTACTGTGCCACATTGGCGCAGGTCACGTGACTGACTGACAGCCTTCCCCGACTCGCTTTAAGGCGATTCTACTCGTCCTATCGTTGAACTCTCGCCTTATTGCAGTCATCTAGTATATTCCGAGCCTCCATCCCCGCAAAAATGAGTAAAATCCCTCCAAATATCACGGCAAGGGAAGCTGAGCAACACTGGTGGATGTCTTCGCCCTCGGGCCGCGGAACAGCTGGTATTCTAAGCTCTTGCCTAACCACCATTCTTCTCTGCTGCTGGAACGCCGTTTGCCCAAATGTTCCCGCACTGTCAGACTCGAAATGGGACCAATTTCACGACAAGGTCACGCTTGCTATGATTGCATTTCTTGGGCCAGAGTTTCTGCTTGGGCTTGCCGCGGGCCAATATAGTTCAGCGAAGCGCTCGGCGAAGGTTGATATCAACGAGCTCTCCGAGGCAAATACTGACCTTATGTAGGCTTTCCAGAAAGCAAAGATCAAAGACTGGAGCCTTACATATGCCTTCTATGCAGACATGGGTGGTATGCTTCTAAAAATCAAGTCTCGCAACAATGGTCAGGAATATGACTTGGTATTCCCTGTCAACTCAAAACAAGTTCTGTATCTCAAAAACAAAGGCCATATAGACTGGCCGTGCGTTGAGGTGAGAGATATCGATGACAAGAACAAGACGGATGGTCTGGCTAGGTTCGCACCTATCTTACTTCTCAAACTCATAGACTAATAATACGGTCCAGGCTGATTACTGTTGTTCAGGCTATCTGGTTCTTCGCAAATACTATTGCGCGTGCTTTTCAGGGCCTCGCAATAACTACACTAGAGCTGACAGCATTGTCGTTTGTTGTGATCATGTTCGGGACATCCATCTGTTGGATACACAAACCAGCAGACGTTACAGTACCCACAATTCTCCAAAGCTGTGTGACGCTTGAGCATATCCATCTCGATGCAAGTAATGGTCTAAATCTTAGAATTGTTATAAACACGCTGGCCAATTGTAGGAAGGCTTGTTGAATTGCCAGTGGTTCCACACCCCTCTTGATTTTGCAGAGCGGGAAGAGTGCGAGCTAAGCAAACTATGGGCATACTATAATTATATGCTAAGGATCCTACATCTACCGGTATACTCTCATCCAGTAACTGTTCATGCTCACGTGACGGCCTCTTCATAGTACTAGCATGGGCCATTTCTCCTCCTTAACGATCCGTCTGATCTCTACTCAAATACAAGTTTTTGCTATTCGAGTATTCTGCATGCTTGCTACTGCGTGCCTCACAGTTGTCAATTGGCGAATCTATAAGATGAACATTTAGCCAAGGCTTAGTCTAATCGTAAGGCTGCGAAGCTTGAGATACAACCATAGCGTAATGTATTTGCTAATAACTGATAGGCTTGTATACAGACGAGAATAAACCGTTCATATTGTACTAGCTAAGTTCAGCGATCGCTTTTGCTGGAGGCACCAACCAGCATGGCCGCCCTATTTAGATCAAGCATCCCTCCTGACCTTACATCCCACCGTTGCCGAAGGACAAGGTGGCGCGAATCAGCGAAGTAAACGCAGCGAAAACTGCAGGAGTGCCGTGGAGGACTCTGTGGGCGAAAACATATTATAGTAGCGTTGTAATGTTTATGCTATTTGTACAGATGCTTTAATCCGAAGTACTGACCGGGGTGGCAATCACGCATGAATCTGCGCGCCACGATCGCCACGAGGTCGAGGATGACTTCTGTTCTCGTGGTAGAATTCAAAAGCGTGAGCCAAGTTGATCCATGACTCTAAGAAGTAAATAGAAGCCAGAGTTCGTGCTGTACAACGAAGACCTATATTTGTGGATAAGAAAATGCTTCTCCGGTTCAGGGCGTAAAGGCATCAACGCCATTGTAATTTTTATATACACAAGGGCCAGAGCAGTCCAGAGTAGGCTTGGAAATTTATTATCAAAAGACTTTAGGGAATTTCAACGCGCTGAGATTATGAGAGCCAATTGAACTCGAAGTACCTATGGTTTGTCTTGCCACAGGGTGCGTCTCGCGTCGTAGGGATTGACCTTACTGTAGCAGTCATGCGAAGCTCATATGATGTGCTAGTTATGTCAGAAACCAACAGAACTTTTGTGGTTAAATCATAAACCGCATTTTAGCTGTATTCAGAGATCTAGGGATCCTGATAAAAGAAGAATCTATGTCTTCTACTGGCTTTAAAATATACGATTTACTAGATGGGATGGCATTTCCAGTACTATTTCCCAAATGAAGCCTAGACATGATCAGCTGCACACAAAAAATGGAATCGAACTGAACCGAACTTAACTCAGATGCGAGAAACGTGAGTGTGTGGTGCCACATGGCAAGATGCATGTAGATAGGATCGTATTTCGCATTATCATAATCCTAATGGGGTCCAATAGTGGGGGCGGGGAACTCCTTCGCACGTATCGTCATCTACAAAGCATCGACGTCATGTTTATAGCGTGCTTCCCCAGAATTCTGAACATCACCCCAGGAAAGGTTTTTTCAAGACATCCAAGTATCCTTTTCTCTGGTAATCAATAACAAAGATGCGGCTGAATCCAAACGGCGAAGCCGTCACCTTCCCCAAGCGCTCAGCTCTTCCGCACGTATCAGGCACCCCGAAAGGTAACGCCTGGTTCTGGGGCGGCTCCGACGAACTCGGCCGCTTGAACCTGCTCACCCCCGAACGAACACTTGTAACTGTACAAGAAAACGTCAAAACAGGCGATTCCATCTCTCTCGATCTCCCCCTTAACGTCCCCGGCCCAGCTCTCTTCGGCCGCCAGGGATTCAAACACCGCATCCGATCACCTGCCAAAGGCGCCTATGATGACGAAGTATCGTACAACACGCAAAGCAGCACCCAGTGGGACGGCTTCCGCCATTTTGCACACCCAACGCACGGATGCCATTACAATGGCGTCTTGTCAGATAGCATCATAACAAATGTCAATGATGAAGGGGAAGATGGCAAGGATGCCCCTGAGCCCTCACGTAAACTGGGTATAGATGCTTGGGCGAAGAAGGGAATCATTGGGCGCGGCGTGCTCCTCGACATATGGTCTTGGTCGCAAAAACAAGGCAAAGAATACAATCCGTTTACCAGATACGCCATTACAGCCGAGAATTTGAAGGCGTGCGCAAAGAGCCAGGGGACCGAGTTGCGCACAGCAGACATTCTTTTGGTTAGGACCGGGTGGCAGGAAAAATACAACACGTTGTCTGCGGCTGAAAAGGCGGATTTAGCTGTGCTAGCGCTGGATAAACATTTCTATGTAGGACTGGCATCGGATGAGGAGATGAAGGATTTCTTGCATGATGGATATTTTGCGGCGGCCGCGACGGATTGTGTGGGTTTTGAGGTTTGGCCGCCGGCAACTTGGGAGGGGAGTTTACATGCTAGTATGCTTCCGCTGTGGGGGATGCCGATTGGTGAGCTTTGGAACCTGGAAGAGTTAAAGAATAGGTGCGAGAAGGAGGGGAGGTGGACTTTCTTGCTTGTGAGCAAGCCGGCGGATGTACCAGGCGGTGTGGCGTGTGCGCCGAATGCTGTGGCGATCTTTTAAGGAAGGGTTGGAGGTGAGTGTAAGGCCATGATTGGTTTAATAGGGAGACCTGGCATCGTTTTATGCGCATGAGGCGTTTATGTCTATGGATTTAGGAATTGGGCATCTTGTAGCATGGTAGTCGATAATAATTCTAGTACCGTAGCCGCAATCACCCTGTGTGCCTGACGAAAGACAAACAGCCTTTCTTAAATTAATATCAAACAACCTTCTACCTCACCACCTCACCACCTCACTCCAAAGAACCATATGAAAAATGGAAAGCTGTGACCTTTTTAGCCGTCGAATTCCTTCACAAATACCTTCGCATCAACTGCTTTGGCAAGCTCAATCATTAGCAGAATCGTCCACTCCACCATACGGAACAGCCAGATGCACAAACAATCCCGAGAGAGGGCTGTGACGCAGTCGTATCCGGTGGTCTCGCTGAGAAATTTGGCCGCCATGGCGACCATTCCTGCATACGCAATAGTCCGTTTGGGCCATTTGTGACATCTTGTCCTTTTCTACGAGAAGGTTAAAATCTCTGGAAAATAACTAGTCCCAGTTTGAACTATTTTGTGGGATTGGGAATTTCGCTTCTGCCAAACACATTGACAAAGTTCAGTAAGTGAGCTGACTAGTAAAGCGATATTCACTGGATTTAAGTAGGATGGCACTATTGGGTTGGTTTGAAATCACTATAGGCTTTAGACATGGTATTTTACAAGCAATTATGTCGTCACCTTTTTTCACCTTAGAAATAAGCCTGTAGGCTAACACGATACTATAATTGACCGCTGAAGGAAAGATGCAATCGTGAAAGGTAATGTTTGTGAGTGGGAAAGCTGGTAGGATATGAAGTGAAGTGAGAAGAAGATGTTGCGGTGCTACCAAATGTATACAATCACAAATAGGACACCAAATAGAAATACTCACGCGCACTTCATATGTCCATGCTGTGTCATTTGCTATTCCGCTGTGGGTCAGTAATGACCTAGAGGAAGCGTGGGGGTTGCCAAGCATTGACGTCATTTAACCAAATTTGCCCATGTGTACTATTCAACCGCAGCTCCGAAGCATAACAAGGACTGACACGGCTCACGGATACGAAGACGGCTTGACCAACGTATCCTACAGCAACAGCTTCATCATATTCGACACCCCACCTCGGGCTATTCTGACCCATGGGCTATAATGCATTGCCCGTGTGACCATGCTGGGATAAAGTAAGCATCTCTCCGATGCATATCCTGTCGACGCGTCGGACCGACTTCCTTGTTTGGCCAAATCGCATTTATCCCGGTGGCTTGCACTGCCCATCCGTTTGGTTATACCGTGCCAACTATCAACTAGCGTAACCTTGTTGTTGGAGTGTGAGCGGGTAATTTTGAATTTGGTTCTCTGGAAAGCGATATCCGGGTATATCACCCAAGCATGAAAAAGGTATCATGAACATACACGAAGAGAGCAACTCTGCTCAAGAAAGTTGTGTTAATGCGTTCATTATGTGTCTAGCTTCTATCTCCTCATGTCGTTGATATGCTAGAAGCAACATCAAGATACAATAGCCCAACTTGGGCATATTTTTGCATCTAATGCTTCGACTCAATTACGTTCTCTGCGTGGGAAATAGATCCCTGCTTCGCAGCAACCTCCTCGACGCGACGATCAATGTCTGGCACAAAGTCGCGCTTGTTCATTCCAGGCACGAAAAGCGGGGCGTTGGTGAAGAGGTACTTCATCTCTTCAAGTGGGCGCTTAGCAGTCTCGGGAAGGAAGCAGTAGAAGAAAATGGCGTTGGTCAGGTTGCATACCTAACATTTGGTCAGTTTTCAATCGATTGTGAATTGTAGAGGCACACTTACGACGAAGAGCAAATAGAACCTCCAACCAACATCTGCCATGCCAACTCCAGTAGTTTGTCCAATCATGGTGTTGAACGCAAAAGAAGTCATAGTGGCGATAGAAACACCCTTGGAACGGGTCTTGGTATCGAAAATCTCGGCGGGAATGATCCAGGAGAGCGGCCCACATGTGGAACTGAAGCAGAAGTTGTATGCCCAAGTGACAACAATGAAGCCCCATGCGGCGGCGGCATTTCCACTACTACCGGGCGGAAAAACAGCCAACATAACGGTCGCAATGATGAAAGTAACGCAGTTGCCGAGGTTGCCGCCGATAAGAGTCCATCGGCGTCCCAATCGATCGATGAAAGCAATGCAGAGTGCTTGTCCACAAAGAGCGAGAACGGAGGAAATGGCCTGGTACTTGAGGGCGTCGGAGCCGTTGATACCAATCTGAGCGTAGATTTTGACGGAATAGTACTGAATAGCCGAAACACCAGTCATTTGAACAGAAGCCTGGATAGCGCAGGCGAGGAAGAGACGGCGGAAGCATGACCTGTCTTTGAAGAGCTCGCCATATGACTTGGCCGAGTTTTCGCGCTCAAAGCTAATGGCTTCTTGGATCTGCTGGTACTCTGCCATGACCCACGCATCCGACTCGTTGCCGTTTGCATGGAGCTTCGCCAGGTTGCGAAGACCCTGCTCGCTCTTACCTTTGCTGATAAGCCATCTGGGCGACTCGGGGAAGACCATGATGAGTGCGGCTAGAAAGACGGCTGGAACGACTTGGATACCAAGCGATGTGCGCCATTGGCCGTCATCATCGTCTGCAAAGCCGACATCACATCCATAGCTGATCCAGGCTGCTGCAAGGGCACCAATTCCCAACATGAACTGCACGAGAGCCGTGACTCGTCCACGAATACTGGGGTGGACCAACTCTGATTGGTACATGGGAACAATCATGACGAGGAAACCAACACCGACACCAGCAAGGGCGCGTCCAGCATAGAGATAAGATAGCGCTTGTGCGCCAGTTTGTAGTGCACCACCGAGGATAAAAACCTAACATTGCGCCTCCGGTTAGCAAATTTCATGTGCTCTAGGAGCTTTTGACAATTCTTACCAAGGCACCAATCAGAATGGTGAGTCGACGACCAAGCCTGTCACCAGCAGGACCGGCGAAAAAGGCGCCAAAGAAAGCACCGCCGGTAAAGACTGATACAACTGCTCCGGTTTCATCATCTGTGGGTTTGAACTCTGCATTAAAGGCTGGTGAAGAAATGACTTGGGCAATGACACCAAGATCGTAACCGTATAGCAACGAACCAAGCGATGCAAACAGGCCCACAAGGAACTGGTACACTTTGGGAGGGAGCGCCATGGCGACTGCAGCTGGGATTGAGAGGACTGCAGAAAGGTTGGGAGCGGAACGTAAGACAGGCCAACGACGAGCAGCCTCGCTCTTTATACTGGGCACATTGCCATGTCTCTGCCAGGTTGGTATCACCCCATGGCTGTCCAAGTCTGGGGAACGCATGCAAGCGACTATACTCCACCATCTCCACAAATGGCGGGGATGTTGACTCGATTCCGCGTTTATTACCTCCGCAACTCGCGTGCTGATCCCTGTCACAGCGGTTGTCGGTGGTATGTCCGAGGCTCGGTTCAAATCAAACCGATGCATACATTCGGCGCCAGTCCTAATTGGCTACAATCTGCACTCGGAGGCCTGAATTGGGGGATACATCATCCCACCAGTGGTGGAATGTGTCTTGGCTGCCTGAACCTAAACACGGGTGGTTTACTTCAAACGGCTCAAGTGCAGCGTGTGCCAGACGTGTGATGCGACGATGTGTACAGCCTAAATTCCACGAATGAGCATGCTATTTTGTGCCGGAGACGCCAGCTGGCTTTGTACTAGGACCCGCGCCTAGTTGGAAACCACATGCTCCGCCATGAAGCTTTCTATGACCTCGAGCAGGTCGTACCACTATCAACTTGCAATTGAATACCTGGACCTCGTCTTCTTTGCTCCTTTCATCACCTCCAGGACAATTGCCAACTTTATCCATCATGGCGTCCTTTACTAGAATCGAAGAAAGCGAAACCCCCTCCATCTCTATCAACCCCTCCCACAAGGTCGCTAAGATCAATGACAACCTCTATGGAGGATTTACCGAGTAAGCTTGACAATGGCGCCCTATCAGCTAGGTTTTTTTTTTCGAAATGTGCATTTCTTTGTTTTTCCCTCGGCTAACAAGCCACGCCACAGGCACATGGGTCGATGCATATACGGCGGCATTTACGATCCCGGCAATCCTCTCTCAGACGAGCGAGGTTTTCGTAAAGACGTCATTGAGGCTTTCAAAGAGCTCAAGGTGCCTGTGGTGCGTTACCCAGGCGGAAACTTTGTTGCAACATATCATTGGCTTGATGGCGTTGGACCAAAAGAGAGTAGGCCTAAGAGGTAAGCCCATCATCGTATTCACTAGTGTCTTGCCTGAGCCTCGGTCGGCAATTCCACATTGGACCAAATCTTCCATGTGTCAACAAAAGGCCCATGTGTTATTTCGGGTCTGCTTACAGGGTCCATCACCCTGCGGAGATCTACCACCAAGCATTTCGGAAGAGTGAATCCTAGAGAAGATATTTGAACTAATGCGGCGCCAGGCCGGAGCTTGCATGGATCGGCATCGAGCCCAACACCTTTGGAACTGACGAGTTCATGCAATGGTGCGAAGAGGTCGGCACGGAGCCTTACCTTTGCCTGAACTTTGGCACTGGCACTCTGGACGAAGGTATGCAACAAAGTGGATCTACTGTCACACCTGACTGATTTCAATAGCTCTTGGATGGCTTGAGTACTGTAACTCGGACCGAGATACATACTACGCCAACCTTCGACGCAAGAATGGCCGCGAAAAGCCTTACAATGTGCGTTAGCTCCAGACGGTGCGGGTCGTGGCTTGCACTAGCAGTCTGCTAACCTTGGTGATAGGTCAAGTACTGGGCTCTCGGAAACGAGTGCTGGGGCCCATGGCAAGTGGAGCAGATGACCAAAGAAGACTACGCTAAGAAGGCTTACCAATGGGCCAAGGCATTGAAGCTCCTCGACCCAACCATCACCACCATCTTGTGTGGAGAGACTGGCTACTCATCTTGGGACTACTACGTGCTAAACCAATGCGTCAAGTTGGATGTTCACGGCCTCAGCGGCGACATGACCAAGAGCCTAATTGACATGCACTCGATCCATATCTACACTGCAGACAAAGAGCACCTCCCCAACGCCACAGCGCCCCGGGCAGCCGAGCGAGCAATACAAATGGCCTCCAGTCTCATCGACCTTGCCCGCATCGAGAACAAGGTGCCAGAAACGGTGCCCCGCCAAACCATCTGCTTCGACGAATGGAACGTCTGGGACCCTGTGCGTGCCCCTGGTGAACAGGGTGCAGAAGAAAAGTACACCCTCTCCGACGCTCTGGCCGTAGCCAACTTCCTTAACGGCTTCATTCGCCAGGCCAAAGATGTGGGCATGGCTACCGTCGCGCAGAGTGTCAACGTCATTTCTCCGCTAATGACTACCAAGGAGGGCCTTGTCAAGCAAACCACTTGGTGGCCACTCCTCCTCTTTTCAAAGTACATGCGTGGTCACACTATTGCGCTCAATGTGCGTACGCCCGAGTACACTGGCCGCACAAATCCCCAGTGGATCCGCGGTACCATTGAGACGCCGTATCTGGACTGCAGCGCTGTGCTCAGTGATGATGGGTTCGTCAACCTCGCTGTTACGAATATCCATGAGACACGCGATTTCGAAGTTGAAATCCCTGGGCTGAAGGCCGATAAGGTCGAGGTGCATACCGTAACCGGAGCGAACATTGGGGTGGTGAATACGAATGAGGAGCAGAAAGTGGGAATCAAAGAGAGTAGTTGGGATGGCAAGGGTAAGTTCACGTTTGGAAAGCATTCGTTTACGCTACTCCGATGGAAGGCTTAGCTTTGGACTATCATGACTTGGCATGCAAATAGACAATATCATTAGATTTCTTGAAGAAGAAAAGAAAAAGGGACGATCAAGTTACCACTCCCCAGTATCCATATACTTCTTTAGCATCAAAAGGACCATATCCCTATATTCCCTCAGCACATCGGCGTACACGAAGAAAAAGTAGGACCCAACAACCACGGACCCTGGCAACAGAATCAGCAGCACAAAATACTGGACCATACCCCACCACGCACTCTCGAGCCCCCTCCGCATAGCCTTCTCCTCCTGCACAACCGGAAACCCCTCCTTCGGCGCCTCGACGCCCAAAAACCCACACAACGGCTCCCACCCCAGCTCGCCATCCATATCCAGCTCCAGCAGGCGGTCTTTCGGCACCACGCGCCTCACCACCTCATAATGCCGCTCAAACGCCGTTTTGGACGCAGCCCCGCCATAGTGATTCCCACTATGCACCTTGAAGGCCGAGTGCACAAGCTGCATCAGCGGCGCCAGTTGGGTAAGATTGAACTGGCGACAGAACGTAAACAAGCGCCATGTATCGAGGCACCAGAGACTTTCGCGCATGCTACCTTCCCAGTCTGCATAGTTGCGTAGGGTGAGGATGACCTTGGCGTCGGGATAGGCTTCTACGAGTTCTTTTGCAAATAGGCAGCCTGGGAGGTCGGTTACGGCGTCGTAGTCGGACAGGAGTTTGTCAAAGTCTTGTTTGGTGTAGGGTGCTTGGTTGCGTTGGTGGGAAGGCCGGTCTGGAGGGGGGAGCAGGGTGAGGTTGATTGCTTCTTGCCAGAGGGCGAGGTCCGAGGGGTTGGAGAGCACGTTGCGCATTTGGTGGGGGGTGAAACCTAGTTTGCGGAGTGCGGCGGTGATTGTGGTTGTGCCGGTGCGGCACATGCCTAGGACGAGGATGCGCATGGGCTTCTTGCGGACCCGCGAGGTGGTGTCGATTAATCTTTGGGATGCCATTTTTGCAATTGATTGATTGTGTATGTGTGTGCTGAATGGGAGTTTGGGGTTTGAGAGAGAGAGGGAAATTTCCAAGGTCTCAAGTATGCCGAGAGATGAAGAGACGTGGTGGGTATGAGATGCAGCGGCGTGGTTCCGGATTAGGCTAATTAGCGGCATGTCGGGTGAACAGGGCCGCATGTGCGAGCCGCAGGTCTGGGACGCCTAGTTCTCCGCTGGATAGCGGGATTGAAACACACGCGCTATTCATTGAGAGGATGATGGACTGAGAAGAAATGCATCTAGTTCAGGACTGGCCCGTGAGCTGGGTCTGCCATTTCGAGATGTACGTCGACGTCAACTTGTACATTTCTATAGTGTACGGCGATTCTGGATCCTCCATGTGCCGTAGTTTGTATGCCTTATTCGCCCAATCCGTGGCAGACGGCCAGTTTTCCAATTTGGCAAAGCTGAGGGCGACGATCCGGTAAGCTCTCGCGTAGTAGTCGGCAAGGCCTTCTGCTTGTACAAGCTGGGCCAGCTGAACACTCACTTCAGCGCTCTTGCGAGCATATTCTACTTCGGCCTTGGTCTTTGGGGGATCGAGAAGCAGCTGGCTATCAAACCTATCAAAAGCGTTTTTGATAGTGACGCGACGGTTGTCGCTGGCCTCGCTGGCTGCGCGCTTCTGAGCACATGCCTCACACTGGCATTTGAAGCCATATTGATCAAGTAGCTTCTGCCGGTCCTCTTGAGCAAGCAAAAGCGAAATGTAAGAGACGGAGAACTCTTCTCCAGCCTTGATCTTCCGGCTAGCAAAGACAATGTGCTGATTGAGCTTCTCGCTCCAGTAGTAACTCGTGTTTGGTCGACAGGAGTGGTTGATGCGAGCGATTCGAGGAAACAGGCTGAATTTGTCGCCGGTATTGTACGCATTAGTGCGGAATATGGTCCCCACTGTCTCTAACTGCGTGTTCACCGTACCGTTGGCATAATAAGACAGTGCCAAAACCTGCTCTTGTGCGCTGCGTGAAAGCGTTTTGAATTCGTCGTGGACTAGCTTTGCAACAGCAGCCATGGGATCCTCGCCTCCCTTTGTGAGTTTGGACCGGCTGATCCTGATGACGGGTGATTCGCGCATGACAACGTCGCCAACGTCAAGATCGCGCATAGCAAAGACACCCAGTCCTTTGCCCTTGATGGGCTCGACTACATAGACGTCTGGAGGCCCACTGCAGATATGACGCAGAAGATGGTTGGGTGTGTGGTGGTTCGAGCATGTTGCACTATAGGCAAGCGCGGACAATGGAAAAAAGACAGCGACAGAGGCGGATTTGACGAACATTGTGATTTTGGAAGTGATTTAGAAATTGAGTAAAAGGAATTGAGCAATGGGTGCTTTGAGCTTTTAGAGGCCTACCGTGATGGCGTACAAACACATGCTAGAGTTTGAAACGGGTTTCGTTTGGACATTTGTGCAACATGGCACTGGTGCAGAACCATACTCAGCCGTGTTACGAAACGCGAAAGTCTACAAATCTCTGAGACGGTGTTGCGTGGCTTTGATCGGCATTTGTAGTGTCGTAGTTCTGTGAGCGTGGTGATCATCTAGGGAAGAGCGGAAGCGTGTCGCCCCGCAGCACGGATACTTAGCACTACTACTACTACGCAGTAACGCGCGGCGCAAGTGAGGTGCGCTCGGGGTGAAGATAGTCCTTCTGGTTCATCCATGCAGTTGAAGACAAGAGGTGGAACAGCATTGACTTTCGACGAAAAATCCCCGGGCCGACGATTGATGTCATCCGACAACCGTTGCCGCGATCGCAGCTTCCCCGCGCCTGTGGGGCAACCAGCCGTTGTTAAACATGGCCGTCGCGGGGATACAATGCCCCTCCTCCAACTTTCTCCAGAAAACCATCAGACACCATGGTGTAAGCACAGACTATCTCGGTGCTGTATGGAACGCTCTCTAACCCTCCCTAGATACACTGCGTCCTTTGCCTTTTTTGAGGCCCTTTGGGAGTATGGCGTTAGCCATGTCTTTGTCAACCTCGGATCGGACCATCCTTCGATTATCGAGGCCATTGTCAAAGGCCAGAATGAGGCCAAGGGCCAATTCCCCAAAATTATCACGTGCCCCAATGAGGTGAATAGATTACATGCAGCCAAGGTTACACAATGGCTGATATGGTTAGATGGTTGCGCTGTCCATGGCCGATGGATATGCTAGGTTGACGGGCAAGCCCCAATGTGTCATTGTCCATGTCGATGTTGGAACACAAGGTCTTGGAGCTGCTGTCCATAATGCCTCGTGTGGACGCGCACCTGTTCTCATCTTTGCCGGCCTGTCTCCATTTACCATTGAGGGTGAGATGCGCGGAAGCAGGACCGAGTACATTCACTGGATACAGGATGTGCCAGACCAGAAACAGATTGTCGAGCAATACTGCAGATATACGGGCGAGATCAAGTCTGGGAAGAATGTCAAGGTGTGCTAGACGGCGACATGCAATGAGGAAACGCTAACAACAACATAGCAAATGGTCAACCGGGCCTTGTCCTTTGCCATGAGCGATCCAAAGGGGCCGGTATATCTGTACGGCGCGCGCGAGCCTATGGAGGAGGACCTAACCGCATACAAGCTCAAAAAGGACTACTGGGCACCCGTCGAGCCAGCTGCACTTCCTCCCAAAGGCGTCAAGGCAATCGCCGAAGCTCTGGTCAAGGCTCAGGAACCTCTTATCGTAACTGGCTACTCTGGTAGAAACCACGAAGCAGTGAAAGAGCTTGTTCGGCTGGCAGACAATGTCAAAGGCATCCGCGTGTTAGATACAGGAGGCAGTGACATGTGTTTCCCAGCAAACCACCCGGCGTGGCTGGGCCTGCGCTATGGTAATGATCCGGCCATCAAAACAGCCGATGTCATTCTAGTCCTTGACTGCGATGTACCATGGATCAACACACAATGCCACCCCAAAGACGATGCGAGGATTTTCCATGTTGACGTTGATCCGCTCAAGCAGCAGATGCCTGTCTTTTATCTTAATGCCATCCAACGCTATCAAGCCGATTCATATACGTCGCTAAACCAGCTAAATGAGTACCTGGAGTCGACTTTCAAGGACCAACTCACCAGTCAGCTCTTTGACAAGCGATGGTCGGCCCTGCAAGAGTCATACAAGAAGAAACTCGAAGTCATCGCTAGCGAAGCCAAGGTCGACGACAAAGGCCACTATGGCACATCTTACCTTTGCGCCCAGCTGAAGAAGCAATGCCCAGAGGATACCATTTGGGCCATTGAGGCTGTTACCCAAACCCGCTTTGTCGCGGACCAGATACAAGCGACATTGCCCGGATCATGGATAAACTGTGGCGGTGGAGGTCTTGGATGGTCTGGCGGTGGTGCCCTGGGTATCAAACTCGCGACCGACTATGAAGGCAAGAAAAAATTTGTATGCCAAATTGTTGGCGACGGCACATATCTCTTCTCGGTGCCAGGTTCCGTCTACTGGATCTCGCAGCGCTACAAGATTCCCGTTCTCACCATTGTGCTCAACAACAAGGGCTGGAACGCCCCGCGCCATTCCATGCTACTCGTCCATCCCGACGGTGAAGGCTCCAAAGTCAGCAACGAAGAGCTCAATATTAGCTTTGCGCCCACGCCAGATTACTCTGGTATCGCCAAGGCGGCAAGTGGTGGCGAGATATGGGCTGCGCATGCGAGCACAGCTGATGAGCTGGGCAAGCTTCTCCCGGAAGCTATCAAGTCGGTGTTGAGTGGTACTTCAGCTGTTTTGGATGCTCATCTTGAGGGTCCAGAAGGAAAGTATGGAGGTGGCAAGGGTCGTCTCAGTTGAAGAACTGGTCTATATCTCTGGGGCCAATGTGGCATTGATTATAGAATATGTGAGCATTGATTGACGCCGAGAGGTTAGATGGCGATGTTGGGACATGTGTCAAAGAACATAGTCATGTATTATCCCTGTATACAACTCTATCTAAATCCTGATCGTTGCATGCAGGTTGTCTATCTCTTGGATCCAACGCCGATGTACCTTTTCGATTGATCAGCAGCAACGACGGGAGCACTTCCATCATGAATATCGTACTCAGTTCATAAAAGGTGTAGTTCCAGTGGCATTGGAGAGCTTTGCAAGAGCGATCCATGGATTGGGCTCCTCAACCTCGCATACCGTGTTCGCAGGTGGAAGCGTTCCATCACGCATGTATTGCTTTTCGTGCTCGGAAACACACTTGATCGACTGGAAGTGTGCAGTATGCTGTGAAGACCAGTCAGTCAGCATCCCCCCCCTAAAAAAACACACACAAATCTCGAATGAAGGGAAAACTTACACCAACATTATCAAACACCAGCAGACCAGAACCAGGAAACTGGTCATTCATCTTCCTTGCCGCTGACAAAGGCGTAATAGGATCCGCAACCGAAGACACGAACAGGATAGGAGTATGCGTCCCATTCACTCTCGGTACCCCATCAAACCGCTGGCTCTCAGGCGACCTGACACGCATCTGACTGCACACCGGTCCACTCAGCGCTGCAACATGCAACCCACCATACCTACTCTTTTCATGCATCCCCTCCATAAACCCCCTGTACGCCTCAAACTCTGTATAATTCGACCGCCCATCCGAGTCCAAACACACGACCAGCGCCCTCCCCATGCGCTCATCGTAGCTCGGATTCAAGCTATTAACCTGCGCTTTGAGCGTAATGCTAGACAAGATGGCAACATCGCGATTCTGCAAAGCGAGAAGCAAGTAGTCCATTGCCACCACGGCAGCCGGGGTGAGATAGTACAGCGTGGCGAAGAACTGGCTCGTGATGTCGGTCCACTGCATCACATACGGAGTCGGGGCCAGCGCTCCGGGGACAGTCAGCGGGTTGCTTGGATCCGGGATCGCCTGGGCTACTGCAAACGGGCTTGTCTTTAGATCGTCGAGCAGCGCTTCGTACCGGTCTTGGATGGCGCGCGGAGACGACGCGTTTTGGTGGAATAAACAGAGTGCGGGGCCTGCGTCGAAACATTGCTGGAAGAAGTAGCCTGCGGCTTTGTCGCTGTCGTCTATGGCGGTTTCCCAGCCGCCGTCGTAGTAGTCGGCCAGATCGAGGACGCCGTCGATGATCATGCGGCCTACACGCTCGGGGTAGAGACTGGCGAAGGTGGGTCCGAGGATGGAGCCGTAGCTTATGCCGTAGTACCAGAGTTTTGCTTCCTCGGGTGCTTTTCCCGTGTCGGTGGCGCGCAGCTGGATGTAGTGTAGCATGTCTTGTGCTGCGGCGACGGTGCTGGCGTAGCGTGCGGTGCCGTTTACAGCGTACATGTCTGAGCACCATTTTCCGTATCCGAGGAGGGATTGGTGGTGGGTTTTCAGTGCTTTTTCAGAGGTTATATCTGCGAGACCTAGGGGTTCTTCGAGGATGGCATTGCGGGTTTGGAAGGCGTAGCCGGGGAAACAGTCGCTGGATGGTTCGCTGTTGTTGATGCCGCGGGGGTCGATGCCTACGAGAGAGTAATCGGTCCCAATTTTGGCTTCGATTGCGGCGGAGCTGAAGAGAATCATGCTCACGGATGAGCCGCCGGGGCCGCCAGGGTTGACGAGGACTTCTTGTGCGTTGGGTGTTGGACCGGGTTTCTTGATGATGGCGATGTTGAGGGTACCGGCGGTTTTGTTGGCGTAGTCGCGTGGTACTTCTAGCAAGGCACATGTACTGGCAATGTTAATTGGCCTTTGTTCTTCTCAAAATATCGGACTGTTCATACAAGTTGTTGTAACATGGGGACCAAGCAAGCGATGGGCTCGCGGTCAACTGTGTATGTGTAAGTCTCCATCGATTTTGACACGAACAGATGAAACTTACTTCGGAGAAATCGTAAACCATACTGGCATTTCCTGTTGAATTCAGAGGGGAGCCGAGGCCCAGCGGCAACATGGCAGCAATTGCTGCTGTATACTGTGTGTACGCTTTCATGATGCACTTAGTCTTTGAAAAGCGCGAAAGAAGGTCTGATAGTAGATGATAGAACACAACAAGAAACTACTCCATCTTCTTATACATGTCTACCCTTTCCAAGAACGTGAATTGCAAGGTCGCCGAGTGATGCAATAAGCTGCATTTTAGCCCCAACCGTACACCAGAATAGCAAATGCATTGCAACAAGCAAGCCACTACGTATGTTCAGCTCTGCTCCACAACAAGGCTGTGCCTTTCTCCTGTAGATTCTCTTCCAGATCCAGTAGTATTACTGCATTTTATCAAAGCCACTACCCCGACGCTACTGTTGGGGCCTGATGTCTTGGCCATCATGTTTTCCAAATCAGGTCTAGTGCAATGGCGGTGCTTGGGGAAGTGGCACGCCTCGTGTGCGCATGCACCGTTCACGAATCCTATAGGAGGTATTTTGAATTGCTGCCAAGAGCAGTGAGGTCAATTGTGTGATGCCCAAAATAATAGTGCATAACCCAGGGAGAGACCAAGTAGGTCAAATAGTTATCATAAGATTATACTAGTAGTAGCTTGTAGGCGAATCGCTAGTGGAGGTGGAACTTTCGTGTCGTCGGGGAGCTGGCATTTAATGGCCTTCATCAACAGGAATTGTGCATCGACAGCTTCGTTTTGCATCTCCATGGTCGTGATGCGTCCCATCTCCATAGTGGTATAGCCTAAATTCTCCAGCTTGGAGGAGGGTGGGCGCTCGGGAGCGGCTTGATCAGTGGTCTCGTTGCTGGTGCCTTTGTCGTCGATAGGCTTGTTGGCATATGTGGTCTTAGAGTCAGTGGTCTCGTTGACAGTCTTGCTTTCCACAGCCTTGTCAAGATCAGTCCTCTTCTTAGTCTTCTTTTCTTCTGTTCTCTGGAAGTGCACTTGCTTCTCGTGACGCGAGATGCTGATGATGGCACCCTCGACCTCGAAATTGCCAATGTATGGGAGTACGATTGCCCCGATTTGTTGAATTTTGAAAGTAACGGTCGTGGAGAACGAACTTCCTGAAGTTGCTGGTGGTTAGGCCCAGCCACCTAACGTTTCGCACATGTACTCCCTCTCCAGCCCATTCACAGTTAGCCAATAAATCCATTATATTACACAAAACATGACCCGATCTAACACTCGCCGGCCCCTGGACCTTCCTCTGATGAATAGAGCTCATCACGTGTAAGTTCTTCTGATCAAATCAAGTTTGTTTTTGATGAGTTGGATTTCGGACTGAAGCTTGTTCATTTCATCTTTGATGGCCAGAGTATATGTATCAAGCTTATGTTTGAGAACTACAAGGTCTGGTCGATGCTTTTGAACATTTTCAATGGTGTTTTCCACGGCAGCAGTGAACCAATTAATGAGGGTGTTGATGTGTTGAACATCCAACTTCTGGTTTCTAACCTGTTTCATGGCGTATTTGAAAGTGTAAGTGATTGTATCAAGTTTGTGTTGGATCGATTGAAGGTCTGGATTGTCGTGTCGAAGCTTATCCACGATATCTTTGATGCTGGCGTCATGTTCTTCGACTCTTGCCTTCATGATGTCAAGTCTATGACTCAGTTGCAAGATATCCAAATTGGCAGTCGACAGTGAGTGCGCGACAGTCCAGTTTGGGATCCTATACAAGAAGATAATGGCAGTAACACAGGTCAAGATAGTCACGAGCTTATACCCTACGGTTTCTAGTATTAGCTCTGATATACATACTACCTTAGAGTTTATATTGAATACTTACAGCAGTCTAACTGTGCCCAAAAGCGTCGCTTTTCACGGTCGAATTTGGTACTTTCGGGTTCTTTCATAGGCACAAGTGGAGCACGTGGTTGAATGCAAGGTGGTCGAGTGGAGTCTGTGGATGCAACAGGGTCGGGCTGCTTTTGAGTCATTTTACTAGCAGCAAGTACGTAACGTCAAATCGAGGAAGGCGCGAATAGTGGAAGCTGCAGGTTAAGAAACTTCGAGAGAACAGAATAAAGGGGCAGAGAGCACAAGATCAAGTAGGAGACAGAGTAGGATGAAAAGTCCCTTGGGTCGGCATCTTGTGTGAATAAGTGAAATTTTGCCTCCTGAGCCATGGTTGGCTATATTCGAGCACCTAATAGGATACCTGTTAAAGGATGAGCACATGAATTGAAACGGAATTACTGGTATGGTTACTATACAATTAATGAGAGTGGTGGTTCGTCGGTCGATGACGTAGCGTTATCGTTTGTTGGGTGTAGGCAACCACAGTATTGAAGACATTGAGGATGTATTGACAGATAATGGATCTCCAGCCGATGCCTAGTTCCTTCATTTTTCATGAACTGATCGGCAATATGGAGTTGTTAGTACGTTCGTGAGGGCTGGGTGCTATCAACTCGCAGTGGTCGATAGGTTGCACTGTAGACAATTTTCCTTTTGGGTAAGATTCTGATGGGGCCAGCTTTGGGCAGTTTTCCGGGCTGGACCTCGATGGTGCCGCAGGTTCAAAACGATCGTGCAATGTGTTCAGGGGAGCACTACGCAATGGAGGCGGGGCGGTACTGCGCAATGCAGATCGAAAGAGCAGATAGCAGATGCTAGGTTGAAATGCTAGAACCAAGAAAGGCAGTAGGGACAGACAGGTAGTCAAAACTGTAGCAGTATGATGATGGATTTGGAAGAGCTGCCGAGTGGCTGGGCTAACTACTAGTACTAATACTACTACTGCTACTACGAGATATCCGCCGATGCCCTGCGCCCTTTGGAGTACCCTCCTTGATCTGCTTCTCGAGATGCGATGTTTTTCATATCACTAGGTCACCACTCTAACGAACCACCCCTGTGTATGACTCGATCTAACACTAGCCAGTCCTAGGACCGTCCCTTGATGGCTAGAGCTCACCATGCGTCGGTAGGCTCTTGTAAGATGGGCTTGCGCTCGGTAACGAGTGTGGAGTTCATGAACGTGATGTCTGATTGAAGTGTGTCCATTGTGCACTTCGTGGTGGTATCAAACTTGGCGATCAACGAATCAAACTTGGCGATCAACGAATCAAACTTGGCGATCAACGAATCAAACTTGGCGGTGAGCGAATCAGGCTTCATGTCGGGAAGTTGAACATCTGGATGCAGATGACTAGGATTTGAATCTTGGTCCTGAGGTCGTCCACCAATGTCTTGTAATTTGGCCGTGAACTTATCAAGTGCCGCTTTCAATTTGGGATCCGTATCCGGGCGTTCACACTGTTCTCTATAGTGTTTGACGAAGGCCGTGAAGTTATCAAGGTCCACCTTTTTACGTCGATTATCCGTGGTATAAGGCATAGACTCTGGCGTGTTGATCGTGAAGTGATGGTCATGCGATGCAATGGTTTCCGTCACGACGTTGAGGGTATGGGTAGGCACTCGAATGTCTTGGTTGATGTTCGACATCGTGTTGGCTGACGTTGTGTGCCTGGTAGCCCAATTCGGCGCCGTGTACAGAAGAATGAGGGTACCGATTGCGAGGCAGAAGTTCAGGGACTTGAAGACTATAGTTTCCAATGTTAGCTATGATCTACTGCTTTGGAACATGTGCTATGTACTCACGTAAGTCTCCATATAACGAAATACGCCGCTGCTCACGGTCGAACTTGCTTGCGTCGGGTTCGCCTGTGGGTACGGGTTTGAGGGACCACATAGTTGCGTGTGATGGAATTGCAAATTCGCCTTTGAGCTGCTTGTAAGGGGGTGGAGCGGAGTTAATGGATGGAGCAGAGTTAATGGATGGAGCAGAGTTAACGGATGGAGTGGAGTTGGTGGATGCAGCAAGGTCGGGATGCTTTTGAGTCATTTTATTGGCGGCAAGAGAGTGACGTAAATGGAGGGAGGTGCGGGAGGTGAAGTCAGTCGAGGAGGGAGCAGACGGTGGAAGCTGCAGACGGTGGAAGCTGCAGGTCAAGAAACTGCGAGAGGACAAAATGAGAAGTCAGAGAGCGCCGGATTAAATAGGAAAGAGAGCGAGCGAGATGAAAGGATCCATAGGTCGGCGTCCTGCAAAAACAAGGGAGGTTTGCTTCCTAAACCACGGTTGGCTATGTTCGGACCACTAATACGATACCTGTTTATGGATCAGCGAATGACTCAAGAAGAACAAAAGTGGAATGGTTACTATACAATCAATGAGAGTGGTTGTTTGTACTAGACTAGGAAAATGCTTCTCCTGGACTTGGCTTTCGGGCTGGACTGCGTTTGCCCTTTCGCGCGCTCCGTTTCTCCACACGATTCGATGGTGCAGTCAAAGAAGCTGAAGACGCTCGGGTATACCGGCGTCCGGAGCTGCTAGGTTGCGATGTTCGTAGTTTGTATAGATCGCGTTGGGGGTCGATGCTGAGGTCCTTTAGTTCTCGTGAACTAATAGTTGGCATTGGGTCGTGAGTGAATAAGTGTTAGGTGCCATCAAACTCGCGGAGCTGACAGGTTACACTGTAGATAAGTTTTTCCTTTTCGGTAAAGTCTGCTAGGGGCCTGCTTTGGGCTGATTGTCCGGGCTGGACCTTGACGGTGCCACGGCTTCGATGTCGATCGCGCAATGCGTTCAGCGACGCTACGCAATATAGGCCGAGGGGTAGGACGACACTGCGCAATGCTGATCGAAGCTGGAGCAGCTATCAAATGTCACGGCCGGTACGGCAGTCAAAAACGGACAAGTATATCGAAACAGTATTATACAAGTGTATCTATCTCGGAACTGCGGGGGTGAGGCTAAGTAGTACGTATCCCAGCCAAGGTGCTATACCCAAACAGGGTGAGTCATGGCAACGTCATAACAGAAATGTCAAGATGCGTTGCTTGTCGAGAGATGAAAGAGGCAAACACATCCCGCAAAGGCTCCATAAGACAGCTGTAACCAAAGTCCGTGATTCAGAATTTGCCAAAAATCTTCTCCAGAGCCTTGGAGATAGCCATGTTCGTCTTAGGGATGCGGAAGTTCACATGTCGAAGATGCAACTTGGAGGGGAGACAGAATTCGGCATGAATCGGCTCCAGCTCGCTCGTGTTGCATGTTCATGGTTCAATCATTCCAATGTGGCTCCAAAATGAGATGGATTGGAAAATGAAGTAGGCACTCAAAGGCATCAAAGACCTGGACTCAACCCAGCTCATGGGACGGAAGCTCGATGTCTGTATCAGCCAGTTCGGTCCTTGCAAGTGGACAATATTGACCTGAACACTAATGAAGCGGGACTTCGACGCTTTCTTCTTTCTCAAAAGCCTGTTGACATAACTTGGAGGCCTGAATCCCACATGTTGACTGCAGAACAGCTAAAAGAAAAAGCTATCACGGAATCTCGATGTCACGGTACTCTCACAGAAGAGTGTATATATTCTCAGTTCACAAAGGGGGCAAAGTAGAACAAACGTCTCGCCAAGCCCAGCGAAGCAGAGGCAGCACGTAGTGCGGTCAAGAAGATGCACAGAACCCGCCTCGCTCCCAGCTTCAATAATAAGATGCAAGTTACTCCTCTCGTATCCATCAAATTGTTGACCTCCTCTCGAACCCTAGCAGCCATTCGGACACAGCTGAACTCTCTTGTTGACCAAACATGGCGAACGGATCACGTCCAGATCAAAAGCTACGAAGCTCCAGGCAAACAATATGCCCAAATCCGGATTTTTGGGCAGTCCAGAGAACCAATTGCTAAGGCCAAGTCGGCCGTGGAGAAGCTCCTTGCGGGCCAGATCGCCGCCGATGGAAATGGCCCAATCACAAAACCGGCCTACTTCAGACATTCATTAAAGAGCTTTCTGAACAATCTCGGAGCCGCAAATGGTGTTTTCATACACCAGGATCTGCGTCGATCGGTTCTCCGACTACACGGAGACGACACGGGTATCAAACAAGTCGAACACGCTCTGGTGGCGAAACGTGCAGAACTCCAAGAACGTTCCAACACTAGCATTACTGATCTCGAGGCTCTGGCGTTTGCCCTAAAACGGGGGTTTCGAAAAATTGTCGCTGCTCTTTGAAAGAACAAAGTCAAGTTGGATATCATCAGCAATCCGAAGCGAATCATTGTCGAAGTCTTCACAAAAGATGTGGTCCAGATACAGGAAATCCTGACCTCGTCCGCATCTTCTACCTTGGAAACACAGATCTTCGGGCTCTCCATCAGCGGTGAGGACTCCGAGCTGTTATACCAGGTCTGTGTCACCCCACCAGAAGATCCTATCAAGACGCCATGCGGCCATTTCTAGTGCAGTTCCTGACTCGTGTCACGGAACACGTTTGCCGATTATTCAGCGCTAAATTGCCTCGGTGAGGGCGCCGCCTGTGGCGCTCCAATAAATCTTGCTGACTTGAGAAAGTTCTTTCTGGGAACAAATACAACAATCTTCTGCAGAAATCCCTGACCTTATACCTCCGTTGTCGAAAAACTGAATTCTAATACTGCTCTACACCAGACTGCGACAGCTTCTACAGAATCCCAACCATTAAAATCCCCGAACCTTTGACTGCCATGGTTACCCTAGCTCGATCTGCACTAGCTGCCATCAAAATCCCTACGCCGGACTCACATGCGAGGCCAACAAAGCCCTGATCAAAGCTGACTACTTACACTGTGCTACATGGTACAAGTTATGTGTGTGGAGACGCGCTAAAATGAAGATCAGGTTCTTCTTCGGATGACTAAAGCAGATTACTATGTAATTACAGAGAAAGTCTTCGTAATCGCGACTCTAAAAGGCATAGAACGGGATCTCTCTAGTACACTAGCGCTTACTCTTCACCCTGGCCTTTGTTGTCCCCTTGTTACTACACGCTGAGCACGAAAGTGTTTGATGTGGGGCGGCAGCCACAGTGTAGATCATATCCCAATCAAGTAACTGAATATATTTCAATACTTAGTATACCCACCTTGAGCCGCAATTACAGC